CATACATACATACATACATACAGGAAATGAAAATAACTTCTTATTTATAACGAATTTATAGTTACAAATTACATTTTGTTGCCTTTTTTTGCCTCATTGGTAACTGCGTTACTATTTTTTTTTTTGGTAATATTAACGAACTTTACAATTACTTTTTGTATTTTTAACCTATTTGTGACATAATTTTTATTTATTCAATCTTCAGTCATTAGATAGTATTCATAATTTTTTCTGATTTCAAAATTGTTTTAATGTCGTAAGATATTAGTACGCTTCTGTGATTAGTTTATTTCTTATTAAATTTAAGATAACCTATTGTTTTCAAAAAGAGAATTTTTGATTGGAGTTTGATATTTGTGTATAATAATATATTAAAATGAATTTGTATATAAATAAAAATTGTCCCAACTGCGCGCCAATTAAAATTTGTCTTAAAACATAATCTTAATTAAAACTGGAATAGTTATGTAACAAATTAAACTGATAGGTAATTTAATGTATATATGTTGATAAGCGTCTTAAAGTATTGTGAAAAATTTATTCTAAAAAATATCAGCCACATAGCAATTCAAGATTGAAAATTTAGGCGTGTATAGATCATATAATTTACTTAAATATTAAGGTTTAGCTCTCTCGAAATGATGAGAGGGAAGTTACATACAATAAATTACATAAAGTTTCATTTTTTTAAAAATAAGTATTTATATCATGTAAATGATATAAATATGATAGAGAACCAATAATCGGTCAAAGTTGTTGTAGATGTTATGAATACAACATATATTCTTAATTTAAATTTAATTATCTCAGATATGACTGTGCGTCGAAACGTTACATTAACCACAATCAATCTGAGACATTAATAATATAAATAAGGTGATAAGATGAAATGTCCCTATATATATGAAATAATCCCCCTAATTTAACAGTCTGAGATAATTAAAGCTAATTAAATTTATATATTTGTATGAAGAATATATATTGTGAATATATATTCATAATATTTAACTTTGGCCGAGTATTGGCATTCTCTATCATATTTATGTATTTCATTTTTTTAGTTTTTTTTTAAAAACCCAATGTTTCTGTAATCTTGAAATCTGTAAAATATGTGATAAATTGAGATATCTATCTCAATGTAGAAGTATAAAATAATTTCTGAAATGCTTAGCTGTCAACTATTGCTGTCAACAGCGCCCTTGCAGTGATTTTTGACAACTAAAGAATATATGTCATTATTTTAGGAATTATTTTACACTTCTACGTAATATATCGGAATTGCTAATATTTCAATTTGCCACATATTTTACAGATCTTAGAATTATGAAATTATGTTTTTAAGGAACTAAAAAGTAAAGCTAGTGTCATTGTTGTTATATTTTGGAGCTTGAGCCCTAGGGCGCTGTAGTAGTTTAAATGGCACTAGGGGTGCCATTTAAAAATAAAAAAGAAATTATTGTAAATAATAATAAACAATTTATTAAAACTGTATAAAGGTACCTTTTCATGCTGATATTCTATGCTTTTTAGTGTTAAAAGAGGTCACGTGATTTAAATTGATGCTTAATATTCGTTAATTTTTATCACGATTTGTTTTGACGCTGAAAATGAGCATCGAGCATCAGCATGAAAAAGCTAATGTGAAAACACAATAAGTACGAGATAAAACCTATAACGATCGAAGCTGAATCTTAAGCTGTTTTATTTCCATGTGAATTTATATATTACGTATGTAGTCATTTGAATTATACCGAATTGATTTTTTGAATTTAAAAACGCAACTGAACTACTGTAATAATGTCACAAATTAAATTGACAAGCATTATATTAGGTGTAGTAAAAAGAAAGCCATTATTTTTCCATTCAATTTCATGCAAAAATAATGGATTTCTTTTTACTAATATATATGATCTTAGGAATTGTTGTTATTATTTTCATGCTATTATTACGTGGATTAGACAAGAACAATTAAAATTGATTCACCCTTGTCTAACTTATGTAATAGTATGGAAAAGAATCACATACATGGACATCACCCGATGAGGTTTGGTATACGAAAAAGATCGAGATAATCACTCAAGTTTCTCTCTGTTCTTATTTTCGCTTAAGTCACATATGGTTTATTATCGCTACTATTGAGATTTGATTTACGTAAATCTAAGAAATCCGGAATATCGATTTGTCATATGTTGATTTTGTAGCAGTGTGAATTCCATTGTTGTCATAACTTTCTAATAAATGTACTTTTTAGAAACGCCTTATATATTGGATGAGGAAAAAAATCCTGGATCGATAAAATATCTCAAAAACAAAGCATTTTTGAGATAAATGTTTCATACAAAAGTAGGTTTAAAATGATCTATTTACTGATTTGATTATATGAATTGATACAGTTTAACTTTATAGCATTAGATTAAGATCACATTGATTGTTTAAAATGGAGCATTAATTTTTTATTCTAGAATCTAGTAGATGGTGTCAAGAGCTTTTGAAAACACTACAATAAAGTTTATTTTCGTTAAGTACTTTGCGAGTTATGAGACTTGAAGATTATAGTATTGCTGGCATTTGTATTACCTAAGGTATTCGTTCGATGACTAAACCTCCTGAATGTTGTTCATGATCTTAATAACGTTTGTCAAAATCAAAGCCATTGGAAGTTATTTTTTTATTTTCATTTTTACATAAAAAAACAAAAATTACAGGAGCAACCTTCAATAGCTTTGATCTTAACATATGATACCAATACCATAATTTTAAGCAACATTTTAGTTGTTGGTCCTCGGATAATACTAATACCAGTGGTACTGTAACTTTCAAACTTCATAACTCGGAAAGTACTTAATGAAAATGAATTTATTATACTGTTTCAAAAAGCTTCTGATACCGATTATTACATTTTCGAATAAAAAATAGGATTTTCAGAAAAATCGGTGTGATACCTTGACCTGATCTTAGTGACGCCACCCAAGATCAAATTGATCAGAATAATAAATAAATAATTTTAAACTCTACAATTTTTGTATATGAAACATTTTTATCAAAAATGCTTTGTTTTTGATGAATTAGATATTTCACCGGTCCGGAAACTTTTTCCTTATTCTATATACATAATAATCCATTTTAAGCAATACAGTCAATTTTCTCTGAAATTATTAATAATATGAAAAAATATTTTAGATGAAAATAGAACGTTTTTGAGGACATATTTTGATGTTATTTTTTTTCTAAGTGCAGGCAAAAAAAGATATGAAAGTCACTTCAGCTTTTTCAAATGGAATTATATGGTATTTTTACATAGTATGATTCCTTTTAATTATTCTGCACATAAAAATATTACGGTAGAAATATCAGAAAATATAGTTTACGAAATATTTAATGTTTTATGTCAAAATGTGCCAGAATAAAGTATAAAATATCTCACAAACTATTGATTTTTTAAATATCTCTATCTTGACTTTCAAATGCAGAATAAAAAAAATTATATTGCTTCATTTGAAAAAAATGAAGAACACCTTCGTATTTTTTTGGCATCTTTATCTAGAAGAAAAACAGCATGACTAAAATACCTCTCAAAATCAATGAACTTTTATCTAAAATACTTTTTCATATCATTAATAATTTCGGAAGAATTATTGACGGAGGATGTATTGATTAAAATGGATTAACCCGTATATTATTGTTGTATTCTAAATTGAGATACTCATACAGAATGAATATGTGAACATGATATAAGGTAATTTATCTTTGTCAGATTTTTACCAGAATCTAATTCTGGTAAAGAGAGAAAGGGGTACTACAGAAAACGAATTATTCATTTTTTTAAATTATAAACAAAATATTTATCCAATTTTTTGTGAAAGTTATATGAAAATAATTTTTTGTTGCAGAGAAATGAAATGAGATCAAGACACTTTTTCAGAAATGGAAACCTAACGGAAGAACCAAATTTGCCGTCATAATGGAACCATTACTTACGAGTAAAGTTCTCCGAGCTCCCAATTTAAAAAGAGGTCAAGAAAATATTAGGATACAAGACAGAGTGAGTAAATTATGAATTCCATTATACACATTATTATACACATTATTGTATACATTTTTCATTATTTGGCCAAGTCTTTTAATAAGTCGAAAATTAACAACAGTCGGAAATAACTATCACCAAACAATTCATTATTTTAATCCTCTGTCTCCATCGTGAGTCTTTCAACAAACAGTTAAAATTTCAAATAGCTGTAGAATTGCGATGGATTAAGGCTGCCGCATACAAAATTCCGCAACAGTGACTCTAAGATGTGAATTCAAGCCGATGAATCAATCAGGATATTGCTTTAGGTTTATATAATCTAATCGAAATAGAAATAACAGTAAATTTATATATATCCATAACCTCGCAATAAAGAAAGAATGAATTTAAAGCCTTATAATAGGATAAATTTACTGCTATTTCTGTTAGAGTACGTAGATCTAAAGCAGAATCCTGACTAGTTCATTGGCTTAAGTTCACGCTTAAGGTTACTGTTACAGAAATTTTGTCTGCGGCAGCCCTAAGACCATGGCACATAAAAAAATTTAAGATGTAAGACTTAAGATATAAGATTTTTTATGTGTCCATGGCACATGAAAAAAACGTAAGGCCATAAGATAAGCAGTAAGGAAATTGTAATTTTAAGCAATAAGCGAATCGATCAATTACAATAGAGATCATAATGCCTAGTTCTGACACAGCAAGCGTCAAGTAGTGGAGCAGGAACCAATCAGCGAGGCAATATTTTTTACGTCATTGTAAATATCGCCTTGCTTTGATTGATTGTTGCTGGATGTTTGGTGTGTCCAGTCTGAACTAGGTATAAGTCTAAGTCTAAATAGGTATTTTAAGTCTTAAACTGTAAGAAACTATAATTGACAAATTATAGTCGAATGCGAGGAGAATAATTTATTATGATTTGTCCATTTCTTATGACTTAAGGCTTAAAAATCTATTGCAGATCCGAGGTGCAGGTTAAAGTTGGCGCAGACAAAATTTCTATAACAATAATCTTAAGACGTGAGCCAAACTTAAATCGATGAACCAATCAGGATATTGCTTTAGTTCTACGTACTCTAACGGAAATAGAAATAGCAGTAAACTTATCCATAAGATGAGTTTTAACCGATTGAAATTCACTTTATTGGGAAGTTACGAAGTAAGTTTACTGTTATTTTCATTTTCATTTGATTACGTAATCTAAAGCATATCCTGATTAATTTATCGGCTTAAGTTTATACCTTATGCATACTGTTACGGAATTTTGTGTGCAGCAAGGAAAGAGTCCCTTAGGGAGAGAGTCGGGGATTCTAACCTAAAAGAGTAGGTCCAATGTCGATAAGGTATAATTGCGATAATCTCAGAACAATCTCAAACTGCGATTGAGACTTGATATGTTCTGCGAACTAATGTGCGCGGTATTATCCCCTATAAAATTTCTCCGCGAATGTCTACAGTTTCAAAGTAGTTTCCGGAAATGATGAAAACGGGAAAGTTGCAAGTCGATTACCTAGGTCCAGTTTCACAACTGACGATTAACTCGTAACTGAGGTTCAACTTATTCACTGTCTCTTTCTAATTTTAGAATTGGAAAAAGATGAGAAATAAGTTGAATCTCAGTTAACCATGAGTTATGAAACTGGATCTTATGCACACGCATAGATCCAAACGCACTCACATTATTGCATTGGATAAGATGAGATAGATTAGACGAGATTATTAACCCTAGTAAGCTATTGTTATTTTTGATTACCTTCCCAGCTACAACCAGGATTTGTGAAACCTTGCAACTTTATCATGCTGTATCTATGGGCGTATTTTTTTTTAGCTCAAAACGTGCGAAACGTGTGAAATTTATATCTTGAAATTAGACAAAGACAGATAAATCAAATAAATAATATTTTATTTTCAATTAATTACAATGTTTCAAAGACATTTTATTGAAAAATTCGCAAAAAATGACTACTTTGGATATAAAATTCTCAAATTTTAAATTTAATATTCAAGCAAAAACTCGTAGGATTTTTTAAATTGATTTTTTTGGACTAACAAAAAAAATACAGTACGAATACAGTATGTCACTCAAAAAAGTATAATTATTTGAATTATCGAAAATCGACATTTTTGAAAAATTTATATATTATATTATATTTATATAT